TGACATTATGGTTGTTGTGACAAGCTTTTGTCCTCTATGTGTAGTCGCAGGAAAGATTTATCTCCCCACAGTCTGCATGAAAAATGTGATCCTGTGTGGCTGCACAAGTATCTACAGGACCAGGGTTCAGCTGAAATATGCCCAATTTTAGACTAGATTTAACCAACACGTGGCTGCAGACAGCTAAAGTACCAGACTTCATTCAAAATATGACAAATTTTATTCTCGACTTTCAGTCCCTAGACGGCTGCATAAGCATCTGTCGTACCAGACTTCATTCAAAATATGCCCAATTTTAGACGTGATTTAGTCAATGCATGTGTGGCTGCATAAATATCTATAGCACCAGACTTAATCCAAAATATTCCCAATTTCAGACGTGACTTAATTCAGTTCTAGTGTAACTGCACAAACATGGATAGCACCAGACTTGATTCAAAGTATGCAGTATTTTATCCTCGACTTTATTCAGTCCCTAGATGGCTGCATAGGCATCTATAATACCAGACTTCATTCAAAATATGCCCAATTTTAGACGTGATTTAGTCAACGGATGTGCGGTTGCACAAACATATAGAGCACCAGACTTATCCAAAAATATTCCCAATTTTACACTTGACTTAATTCAGTTATTGTGTAATGGTACCGACATCTACGGCATCAGACTTCATCCAAGATCTGCCCAATTTCAGATGTGATTTAATTCAGTTCTAGTGTAACTGCACAAACATGGATAGCACCAGCCTTGATTCGAAGTATGCAGTATTTTATCCTCGACTTTAAACAGTGTCTAGATGGCTGCATAGGCATCTTGTCGTACTAGATTTATGGATATGTGCAGTTTTACACATGACTGCATGCAGTTTTAATGGGGCTGTACAAACATCTATAGCACCAGACTTCATTCAAAAATTGCCCAGTTTCAGACTAGCTTTAACCAACACGTGGCTGCAGACATCTAAAGTACCAGACTTCATTCAAAATATGCCAAATTTTATTCTCAACTTTCAGTCCCTGGATGGCTACATAAGCATCTGTCGTACCAGACTTCATTCAAAAAATGCCAAATTTTAGATTTGATTTAGTCAACACGTGTAGCTGCACAAATATCTAAAGCACCAGACTTAATTCAAAAAATGGCCAATTTTAGACTAGATTTTGTGGCTTTACAAACATCTACGGCTCCAAACTTCAATCAGAATAATCACAATTCTTGGCTTTTTTTCAGTTACTGTGTGACTGCAGTGAGAAAGTCGCACCTTTCACGTCAGTCATTTACATTTTTTTTTTACATAAAAACATGGAATAGAGCAGCTTTAGAGGAAACTCTGGTTCGGCCGGAGCCACATCAGGAAGGTGAACAATCCTCTGACATTATGGCTGTTGTGCAAAGATTTTGTCCTCTGCGTGTAGTCGCAGTGAGGATTTATATCCCCACAGCCTGCATGCAGGGCAGAAGTGATTACAGCCAACGAAGCCTCTTTAAACGCACATACATCATCCGGGCGGTGTGTTCAGGTATGCCGTTCCCTTGTATTAAGAAATCAATTCTTTCTGCTGCTCTAAAAAAAAATAATTTATTTTATTGTTCTTTCATTACGGCGGTGTTCGGGGAGCGTGGCGGCGCTCTGCAGCAGCCCTCCCCTCGCCCGCCTTTTAATGTGTCCCCGTAATAACACACAGACAGAGATACCATTATAAAAATCAGGCCTTTTTTTTTCCACGTGTTCCCGCTCTCATGCACCTAATGGATCACTCACCTAAAGAAATAACGTACACGATGACTGAAAGGACAAATGGAGGTAATAATCCTCTGCGGATGAGGGGATTTCATTTTCATAAGGCACAGAGGCATCATGTAATTTCTCTCTATTCAGACCTAATAAGGTCACATGTGCCATTATGTCCGTGTGCTATTTTAGCACAACCATATATATAATATAACTTATATTAAGAGGGGATATAACGGAGTCCCAGAGTGGCCATAGAGAGGAAATTAATTTCAAAACCACGTTTTACTGCGTTT